GAGACATTTCATTGGTCAAAATAACCTCTGATCACTTTGCCTGGTGACCTGAAAAGGCACAGACCTGGGTCTGGACTTTAAAGGAGAGGGGAGAGTGACTTTGAACCCAGGATGTTAGAGACACTGTCACCTCCACATCCCTACCTTACTGTCAAGGACTACCTTATTGTCGTCAAGCAACAAATGCTCATACTGTGAAAGGAATATTTTCAATATGAGATAAGAGTTCTGTTACATGCTGGGGGAGTTGTTGAAAATCATCCAACATTTTTCGGCCTAGTGACTTCTCTTTTGAGTCCTGGTAGAATGACAACAAACCTTGACCTTTTGTCTTCCCATCTGTCCATCTGTCCTGACTTTGATGAATATGGAGAACAATGAACTTGTCACTGTGCTGATTTCTAGCAAAGAAGTTTAGGCTAGCACGTGCTGCTCTCAGCTGGCCTCCCCTTTGAAACCAAAGCTGCCTTTTCCAGATGAACTCGAGGTCATTCAGGCGCCACCCCTGATGCTGTCATCACTTTGCTTCTCTCACCTCAAGACTGACGGGGGAACCAGATCGTGGCTTTGTCCTGAGACCTGAGCTCAAATTTGCTTTGCCATTGATCTGCCACTGATGTGTGTTTGAGGGTCCCTTACCTCTAGTTTCCTTGTCTGTAAAGTACTTCTTGCTATGAAGTTGTTTTTTTTTTTTTTTGGACAGGCAGTGTGGGGGGAGGGAGGAAGAGAGAGAGAGAGAGAGAAAGGTCTTCCTTTGCCATTGGTTCACCCTCCAATGGCCGCCACGGCCGGTGCACCACGCTGATCCGAAGCCAGGAGCCAGGTGCTTCTGGTCTCCCATGGGGTGCAGGGCCCAAGCACTTGGGCCATCCTCCACTGCAGTCCTGGGCCACAGCAGAGAGCTGGCCTGGAAGAGGGGCAACCGGGACAGAATCCGGCGCCCCGACCAGGACTAGAACCTGGTGTGCCGGGGCTGCAGGCAGAAGATTAGCCTACTGAGCCGCAGTGCCGGCCGCTATGAAGTTTTGCACATTTCCCAGAAAGGTGACATGGACTAGCAGGAGCCTGGAGTCTGGAAGAACAGTTTGGATACCTTCCATTTCCCCACGTGTTGAAAATACCCACTCCTCCAGTGCGTTCTTCATTTTCTTGAATCAGGGCAGAAGCCTGTCCAGGAAAGGCTCTTCACTGACCTCCACAATGCCCTGACCCACTGGCTGCTGCTCAATGTCCATTTCACCTTTGTCTTCTCTTCCCTGCCCAGTGTTACAGAGACAGCGACAGACAGGCTGGCCAGCACACTAGGCTGAATTAAAACACCTCCCCAGGCAGAGTTCTGTTCTTTTAGGAGGCATTTTTTTAGAATCTGAAGTTTGTGAAACGAAAGATTGTAGGACTGCAAACAGCCTGCTAGGGAGCAGCATATATGAGATGCAAAAGGGTTAAGGTTTCAGTCCACTCCCAAACAAAACTCTGCTTTGGATAACAGCATATCAAGCCCCCATGTGGCTTGCTTTTCTAATTTTCTTTTTAAATTTTATTTAAGGAATACCAATTTCATGCATTTCACATACAGATTAAGGAACACAGTGATGCTTCCTACCCATGCTCCCACTCTTCTCCCTCTTCTCTCCTATATCCATCCTTAGTTTTTACAAAGATCTGTTTTCAGTTTACTTTATACTCCTAAGATTAACCTTACAATATATGGATGCAAAGGTTGGGAAGTTTGGATGGAAAATCACTCACTGAGGTCTGGAGTTTGAGGCTCCTGAGCCTTTTCCTTATCAAGATTGTATTTACACCAGCACACAGGGTCCATTAAAAGCCTACTCTTTGCAGTGAGACTTCTTGGCTTGATATCCTGACTATAGTACATTATCAGCTGTCTCTCTCTTGACAAATTATTTTAATTCTTTTGACCTCAATTTTCTCAAACTACAAAGTGAGAATAATAATAGAAGTAGTTAACTCAGAGTTGTTTTAAATAAAATGACATACTGCTGATGCAGGGCTTAGAATATTGCCTGACAAGTAGTGTGCACTCAGTAAATGCTTTGTGCGTTCTGTTTGCAGCAAATTGCTGATACCCCTGAACAGGCAGCACCAACTGGCGTTTGAATTCATGTGCAGGTGATCGTCTAAGACAGTTCTGATATGTGTCTTCCCAGCCAGCATTCCCCACTTTTCTGTTTCCAGAGACCTTGGAATTTTAAAGTTAAATGTGTCTTCCTAACGATCAATACCCATTACATGTTGCTCATGATGAAGCTTTTCCTGGAGAAAGATGTTAATGGATCCTGTCAAGACCACAAGACAGTCCCTTCCCTGTATAATGGCTCCAGAGTTTCCTGAAAGCCTGACCTGCAGTTAGAGAGCGACCAGGAAGCCTCCACAAGCCTGGGAACCTAATCAATATTTCTCACTCCTTGGTGACGATTAGTAGAGGGACATCAATTGTCATCGCCGATCCACCACACTGTCAGATAAGTCACATAGGCTCTTGGCTTCTCCTGGCATTTACTATCCATTATACATCCCTGGGGAAGGTGGGCTAGGGGACCTCCTCGGTTTCCATGGCAGCAAGGGGTCCAGTTAACTTGCTAGGCTTCAAAAACAAACAAAAAAAACTGAAAGAACAGATAACATGTAATTAAAAAACAACCTAGACACCCACCATGGTTTCGGGGGATTGGTTTTTGTTTTTGTTTTTGTTTTTGTTTTTGTTTTGTTGTTGTTTTTTTTTTTTTTTTTTTTTTTTTTTTTTTTTTAGTCTATTGGTGCTCCAAGGTCCAGAAGACTGGATTTCAGAACTGAGAGTAAAGGAAATATATCTTTCTGACCAAATCTGAGTTCTGAAATCTCGGGCTGTCAGCCCAGCTCCCCTTTTGTTTAGGGGTATGGCTCCTTTGTGTCTACTTAAACCCACCACCTTGGCAGAGAATGTAGTGTCTGCTAAAATTCATCCAATTTCCATATTTAGTAATCAGGAGTAGAATCCAGAAAGTTTAAAGTTTATTTAAAGTCTTGATGTTTTTAGAGCCTAATGTTCTCTGGAAGAGCTGGAAGCATTGAGACATTTTCAGTTAACATTAAATTTGGTTGGCTATGTCGCCACCTAGTGGTCCTTCTATGAACTTCATGGATGGGTTATCTGACACAGACATTAGCACACTAACAGAAGTTATTAACTTTGTTAAGGATGTAACTTCCCCATTTTTAGCACACGCAGCATGATTTTCGCATTCTATAGTAGTCTGGCAGGACAGATGCCTTGAGAAAAATGCAGAGTGGCTATGTAGAGATGGTCGATACTGAGAACACTTCATGCTATCGTGGGAACATTAGTGGTAGGTCATGGTTTGGTGGAGATCTTGTTTTATTTTGGATAACCATGGCGGCATTCCTGGCAGAACTGAGGTAAAAATATATTTGAAATTCCTTGGTACAAAGTATTTAAATAATACATCATAGCAGATGTGGATTCCTATATATCTTTTTCTGAGTGTTGTAAAAGGTGACTTAGCTGATTTAAGCTGCAAAACCTATTGCCCCAGGCACCCTCCAGCACCAACCCCCGCTTCCTGGAGTGTGAAGTCGCTGAAGTCTGTCCTCAGGCTTTAATTCCTATCTTCACAGTTGATCTCATTTTACCTGAGGGTTTTACGAGGGTCTTCATCATCACATGGTCAGGGATCTGAGCTGAAGAGCCTGCAGGGCTCCAGATCACCACGTTGATCTATATGCGTGTTGGGAAGCTGGGGTGGGTGTCACTCAGCCAGTTGCAGTCCTTTTTTGGATTTTACTCTCTGTAGTGCTGAAGTCCCCACCCTCATGCCTGTGCACCCCTGGAGTCTGGGGAGAACTTTTCAAAATTTCCATGCTTCTCACATTCTCAGAACTCCCTCACTCCAGCCCGCACCTGTACTAGTCTCAGGTTAGCATCTTTTTCCTAAGAGCTCCTATAGACTTTTGTTTTGCAAATCATTTGGATTGTTCCTCTCCAATTAGATTAGACTAGACTCCAATCCCTAAAAATTGGATAATGACTCTGCTTTGTAGAATGAGTTAATTCTAACTCTTCCTACGCATGTATGCCAAAGGATAGAATTAGGAACCCCGATGTATTCTTCTGAAACCATAACTGGCTCCATAAGAAGGGGCATAACTAGGTCTCATGAGGACAACTAGTGGGGAGAAGCTGTGAAAATTGCATCATGACCTGGGGACAGTGTTGGAAGGAAACAATGCCTAAGGAATGGATTTGAAAGGGAGATAAAGTCTCTAAGTCTGAGTTAAGTAGTTTGGTTGAGTTTGCCCAACACCACCTAAAATCAGAAAGGGATTTAACTGGCAAAAGGCCCTGGGACTCTGTGAAGAAAAGGGACACTAGAGAGATTATCTAGGCAAGAAACAGGAGGCAAAGGGATTGAAGAGAGAGGGAAGAAAACAAAACAAAACAAAACAAAAAAAAAAAAACAAAACAAAAAAACAAAGAAAATAAAAATCACCAGAAATGAGTAGTAGTTCTATTCAAACCCCCAAGGCAGGAGAAATGGGTGGTGGTGAGGAGTCTTCTAAAAGAAATGGAGACAATGATAAAAATATCAAATCAGGAAGCTGGAATGTTAATTAAAGGAAGGGAATCGTCAGAATATGTATCACAGATCAAATTACACCGGATTCAGGAAAATATGGAAATGGAAATGTGGTTTTCTCTTTAATGTGGGACATCAGAGGGTTATTGTTTGACTGGGTTTCTCTTTTTCTACTGCAAATTTCCATTGACTATTTCTATTGGCATCTTTCAGTTCAAATGTACACTTATCACTATTCGTCCTCACAGTGACACTTTGATGGAAACAAGCACGGTGGTAGATAGCTGACAGGTATAAAGTGCTGAATCGTCACTGTCCTCTGCCTTCTCTCTCCTCCAGGAAAAATAAGTCAGCCCAGCAACACAATGTCACCAAGGACAATAGGCTTTTGCTCTTGTTTTGTAGCCTTTATTTCTTTGAATCAGAAAATTTTCATTTAGCATTTGAGAACTTTATTTCAGTGATGGAAAAAAAAGTCATAGTTTTTACAGTTCTCAAAAACAGAGAACATAGGAGAGACACTGAGAGTCACCTGTGTAAGAAATAGCTGAAATCACTCCCAGGAAAGCCCCCCCCCCACCCCTCAGCAAACTAGCAAGGGTCAGGCAGAGGTGCCAGCAATCATTCATTAAATGCTCAGATCCGTGTATTGCAAGAAGCTCAAAGCCCTTCATGGGAATTACGAGTCCATCTGCTCAGCGAGGTTAATATGCGGACTTCTCCATGGGCTTCCTAAGGAATTGTGCAACAGCAGATCCAGGGACCTGGAATTGCCAGAGGCATGCTGCGCCCTCCTGACTGTACTGACCATTCTGCAGTCCTGATGACTATTTTTCCACCTTCTTCAATTTTCAATAACCACTGAGACCAATGCCACCCTGTGTTGCCTAAGGTGACATTTCTTCTGCAGATGGTTTCATTTAAACCAGAACTAGCAGGAATTATGTCTTGTTTCAAATACAGAGAGTATTTTTATGCCTGCAAAGAAGTAAGCTTTTATAACCAATGCTTTGCTTCTTAGATTCAAGGTTTAAGTCAGCATTCTCAAAGTGTTGACTCTTTAGGCCGGCACCGCGGCTCACTAGGCTAATCCTCTGCCTGCAGGTTCCAGTCCCAGTTGCTCCTCTTCCAGTCCAGCTCTCTGCTGTGGCCCAGGAGTGCAGTGGAGGATGGCCCAGGTCCTTGGGCCCTGCACTGGCATGGGAGACCAGGAGAAGCTCCTGGCTTCGGATCGGCGCAGCGCACCGGCTGCAACACGCTGGCCGTAGCGGTTACTTGGGGGGTGAACCAATGGAAAAGGAAGACCTTTCTCTCTGTCTCTCTCTCTCAAACTCTGCCTGTCAAAAAAATGTTTTGTCTCTTTAAAAGTAAGAAGATTGACATTTTGTAGGAAAACACTAGAGCAAGGAGACTATTTATTTTTATATTGAACTAAAAACAGTAAGACACTTTTTTTCTCATAGCAAATATCTATACTACAGGTTGTGATTTGTATAAGTAAATGTAACAGAAAGAAGTTATTTCTCTTAAACATTTTCTATTCAAATAAAGAACATTTGAAAAACTACAAGAATTTTGTGTAGGAAATAATCTAGGGAAAGTTGTGAAATCTTGGCTCCAGAATCTTCAACCTAGACTTGCACAGCCATTGTGGATATCCAATTTCAATCTCTAGATAGAAACAGATGGTTAAAACTCAGTTGTTTTCTTTATCATAGGTAAGCATTACTTGTTACTCATTTATAACTACTATTTGGATCATCTTTCACGATCCTGTTGTACTATATTTATTCACACTTGTGTATGTCTCCTTAGCTATGGATAATAAAGCAGTTATAAACTCAGTAGGCCCCTAGGGTGAAGGAAGGAAAATAATGCTGTTTTCCAGCACAGGATGCCCAGCAGGTACAGTCTGCTTGAGCAAGGAGTGTCTTCACTCACTGCTCTGCATGGGACAGTTTCACTATGGGGTAGAAACATCATGGGAAAACTCCTGCAGGATATACCACAGTGATGGCAGCAGACCTGTACTGGGTGTGGTTCCTTATAAGAACACTCAGTGAGGAAATTTCATGCCAACCCTGAACCCAGTACATGGGAGAAACTCAACAACAAGGGGAGGAGGGAGTGAAATCAAAGACTTGCACTGCTCATCTATATTTCTCTTTGCAATAGTTACAAGTTTTGATACATTTTCCAATGTGGAAATACTAATTCAAGGATGAAAGCACTCTGCATACACACTTAGTTCTTGATCTGTTAAGTGAAAACTTTGGTAAAGCCAGCATGAATAACACTGTTCTTTTTCTGTGATTACCAGCACTATTATGCTCCTTAAAATACTTCAAAGCAAAGTGCTCTGCTGTTTTTCAGATGTATTGAGATGCTAGCATTGTTGATTCTGTCTTGTTCCTTTGTGATTGAGACCTCCCCTTGACTAAAACATATTTGGTAGAATTATCTGTCAGAAGTTTTGGCATATCAGTGAAAACCAATTTATCCTCCTAACCTGCTCTGTTGGTAAGAACAGAGTTCATACCCCTTGATCAATGAGTAGGTCAAGAACACAAAAGCAAGTCAGCATTTTAGAGAAAGGTAAAGGGAGTTCATGGGAACATACCACTCTGGCGCTTTGGGTGGGATCTTTGATTCCTCTTAGATCTTGACCTGCAGGCTTCTGTAACAATAAATTATGCTATATTGAAAGTGCATCAGATATTCCCCATGCACATATACACATGAGCACATGCAGCCCAACTCTTCATGTTTATTAAAAACCTAAGACAGTTTTTATATTGATATGGGATGGCAGAAGGAGGGGTGGGAGATAGTTCTGGCTAAGTGAAATTCTCATAAACCATATGACTTCCTTGTAAAATGTTATTTTTAAAACTATTATTAAATGTTAAGACTTTCATTCATATTATGCCTCTAATGGACTCCTAGTAAAACCAATTGATAAAAATTAACTTCAGGAGTTCAATGGGGAGCAGTAGATCTGGTTACTTAGCCCCACCACTGTTTTCTGGCACATGGCAAGATCTTTTGTTTGCTCTGAGAACTCTGAAAACTATTTTAATTGTAGCTTTTAATCATTTATAAATAAAGCTTAATGAGAATTGGTCATTTTAAAAAGAGAAGAATTGAGAATATTGCTGCATTCAGTGTCTAGGAATGGGTTGGTATTCTATTAGATAACGTGATATTGAGGAATCAGGCTAAGAGACATCATTTGGATTGCTCCTAGTGATCCCGTAATGATACGTGGTTTAATTTTTATTCAGTTTCATTATAATGTATGCATGTGCCAATTGGACTAATCTTTCTGTCTCATAAGGGCTAATGGAGGGAATGGTTTTAGACATCTCAGGCTGGTCAAGGCCTCCTAGACAACCAACATTTTACATCCCTCAGAACTGGGCTGAGACTAAGATGAGGTCAGTGAGGCATTTGACTTTGAAGTAGAAGAGGTAAAAACAATATGCTTAAGGTTTTTTTTTTTTAATTTTTTCTCCTTTTATTTAATGAATATAAATTTCCAAAGTACAGCTTATGGATTACAATGGCTTCCCCCCTCCATAACTTCCCTCCCACCTGCAACCCTCTCCCTTTCCATTTATATCAAGATTCATTTTCAATTCTCTTTATATACAGAAGATCAGTTTAGCATACATTAAGTAAAGATTTCAACAGTTTGCACCCACATAGAAACATAAAGTGAAAAATACTGTTTGAGTACTAGTTATAGCATTAAATCACAATGTACAGCACATTAAGGACAGAGATCCTACATGAGGAGTAAGTGCACAGTGACTCCTGTTGTTGACTTAACAAATTGACACTCTTGTTTATGGCCTCAGTAATCACCCTAGGCTCTTGTCATGAGCTGCCAAGGCTATGGAAGCCCCCTGAGTTCACCAACTCTGATTATATTTAGACAAGGCCATGGTCAAAGTGGAAGTTCTTTCCTCCCTTCAGAGAAAAGTAGCTCCTTCTTTGATGACCTGTTCTTTCCACTGGGATCTCACTTGCAGAGATCTTTCATTTAGGTAATTTTTTTTTGTCAGAGTGTCTTGGCTTTCTATGCCTGAAATACTCTCATGGGCAATGCATTAGTTTAAAAAAATCAAAGATCACAAGAATTCATAATGGATGAAATGCCAGCATTGTTAAGGCAGTGTCTGTCCTGAGACTGACATGGCTCACCCACTTTCCTGACTTTAGTCTGTAAAAAGTGGGTCTTCTTGGTGAGCTTTTGGGACAGCAGTTGAGATGCCACTTGGGATATGTGTATCCCATGTCAGGTTTGAATTCTGGGTCCCCTCCCGATTCCAGCTTCCTGCTAATGCAAATCCTAGGAGACAGCAGATGACGACTAAAGCATTTGGATTACTGCCACCTATATGGAGGCTCAGATTTAGCTCTGAACTATTGCCTTTGAACTGCTCAAGGCCCTACAGTTGTACATTTGAGGAGTCAACTAGTAAATGGTAGATCTGCCTGTCTTTCAGATGAAATTAAAAAAAATCAATGCAAACAAAGGAAAGTCTCTATGCCAATGCTACATTTCTACCTCAAATCAAACAGCTATGTTATATTATTGGGTCCTCCCAAGAAACTAGAAAATGGTTAAGAGGCATCAAAATTATCACTGAAATGGACATAGACCAGCACAGTGAACAGAGAGAGGCAGGGCCATACCAGTGTGACGTAGTGGGGACTTGAAAAGCTGGTTGGAAGGTTCTCCAAGGACTCTTCGGCTCTTCCCTGGTTAAAAAAAAAAAAGAAAAAAAAAGATGCATTTAACCTATAATGAATACTCAAACAAGTATATCTATGCCCTAAATCCCTACAATATATTTCCCAGCCATCCTTGGAATGTATTCCTAGTAAACAAACCAATACTATAAGACATGGAAGTAATATTCTTTCCTAGATTGTTGTGTTGCAACAGATGAAGATAAGGATTTAGCATAAAGCTGTCTTACCTGTGAGAAGAGTGGCATTTACATATTGTGACATGAGTAACAGCAGACAGATGTGTTATCCTTGAATTTTAATATTTCTAGTGGTCTGTATGCCTGAACTTCCACACTGCTTTGGACATGGAAGGTCTTTGAGAACCTCCACAGCTTCCTATTAAAATACTGATATGCCTGATGGAGGATACCCTCTTACAAGTGCTTATGTATCCCTCCCCCCTGACAGTGGCCAGCAATACAACTAGAAGGCATGGTCCAGTGGAAACAGGGCATGAGAAAGCTCTGAGTTGGGGTGGGTTGCAGACATCAATCTAATTGGGAAGGAAATCAAAGAAAAATCTTCCCCAAACCAGAGTGGTGCTGAGGACTAGCCTGTGATAAATACCTAATGTGTTAAACATGCATCAGTTAAACCATTATTCTTCATATAATGTTGTGCCAAATACAGAAGCCCTAAACATAACGGCTAAAACTCCCCTATACAATCTGTGTTTATAATATTCCATGGTGTTTATGGCACCAGTAGGAAATTGAATTTATTAATATATTCAACAAATACTCATTAAGCTTCTCTTCTAGCTGCCCTTTATTTAATACAGGAGCCGAAAGTCCTTAAGGAGGTTACAATATAGAAAAGAAATGTAACAAATATGCCCCAGGCTCTGTTTGAACCTCTAGTTGGCATCTGTGACTGTTCATTGTTGATCATATGCTTTGGCCGCTTTTACCTAACTTCTTTCTCTGGGAGTGTGCCTGATTTACATATTAATTTAAAGGAATCACAATTAGGAAAATAACTGCAGCAGCACATGAGGCATACAAGATAATGAACTCATATCAAATGCTAAATAGATGCCTGATACTGTACTGAGTATTTTTATATACAGCTTCTCATTTTAACTTCAAGGCAAATAGTTATATGAGATTCATATTAGCATCACATAGTTTTACACCAGAAAATCTTAGTGTTAGCTTTAAAAGCGATCACACAATATTTTCTGTTGATAAATGTGGACAATTAAGACTTTTTTTTTACCATCTTGAAGTTACCATTGGGTTAATAAAAAGTTTCTTACAAGTGAGTCAAAATGATCAGTCATTATGTAACCAGAAACGCTATCTAAAATACATACTCTAGTGGAGTTGACTGGAGGAATTTCTATTACAATGGCATTTGTGTGGGCATGGTGGGGACATGTTCTGCAGTATTAGGCAGCAAAAACAGAGTTTATGGGAAGTGTAGAATCTGAGCAAAGGATTCAAAATCTCTGAAACTGTAATAAACAGACCGCTGCCAACAATGAGAGAAATTCCATTCTCAAATTACTTAAATCATGATATTTTCTTTGGTACTTGCACCTAGCAACAGTCAGCTGACAGCCTTTAAACATGAGGATTTTGCATCCTCCTTTAAGACTTGGGTTCTGGTGGGTATTTCATTATGGGTTAGTCAGTATAATCTTATCAAAGATAGCAATGTCTTCATCAGTTAATTATTAAAGGAATACCTTATAGCCTTTAATCAGTCCTCAGTGTGACTGATGCATCAGAAATCAATTGTTGTCACAGTCACTAAACAAGCTGCTATTAGAAGGGACTTCAGGAGTTTTAGCATTTTGCTTAGGTGCTTTTATATTGCTAAGGCTGTTATTTTAGTGAAAATATACACAAAGAAAGACACAACTACTAAATATGAAAAATAGGTTAATTTTGTGACCCATTACCAGTTAGACGAAAAGATAAAATACTAACCCCTCTGAAGATTCTCTATGGTAACTGCTATCCTGCCTTCTAATGCTGTAGATTCAGCCTGATAGCTATAGTTTTACAGTTTGCTTTTAGATTTGGCTTCTTTTGCTTGATAGTGCATTTGTGAGTTTGTGGTAGTATCAGCAGTTCAATTGTTACCCTTCCTCTGCAATGTTTTGTTGTATGAATACAAAGAAATTTGTTCATCCCTTTTACTCTTGTGAGCATTCGAATGTTTTTACATTTTAGTTTTTGCAAGCAATGCTATTGAAACATTGTTGTAAATGTTTTCTAAGAGTGTGCATTCATGTGATAGGAGTTCTGGGTTTATCTGGTTTGTGTGTGGTTGGTATAGCACATAATACTCATTCATCTGCCCCTTTGCTTCTACTATTTAACCCTTCATTAGCTCTTCCTATTGTACACATCCCCACTAATAATTATCACTTTATTTACATATTATTGCATGGGGAAAAGCAGAGATTAACACACACCCAGGAGGTAATGAAAGTTTAAGGTAAAAAATTCTATCATTGCTTTAAGAGCTTCGCCACTTCATGTTCCCAACGTGATTACTTCCTCCCCTCAAATTAGTGACTTCTCTGTGTGTTTAGAGATTTATCTCCAAACACTAGTCTTATACATTATAATTCCATCTTGAACATTTAAAAAGTTTTGTTTCCTACAAGAAAAGATACACATAGGTGCATGGCTTTATGTCTGTGTTACAATTTGAGTTAATTTTGTCTATCATTCCAGGGATGGTTCAAAGTTAATCTTTGTACATATGGTTGTTCTAATAACATTTGTGAAATGATCTTTGTGTATACATTTTTGTAAGACCCATCAATTGGCCATTTATATGTGGATCTATTCCTGAGTGCTGCATTCTGTCTCATTACTTTGACTATGTTTATGCCAATCACACCCTATTTGATTACATTAGCATAATGTCTTGAAATTAAGTGATGTAAAATTCCTAACTGCACTTTGCTTTTACAAAACTGTTTTAGGTAGTCTGTATTTCCAAATGAATTGTGGAGTTGATCTGTCACTTTCTACTTTAAAAAAATGGCTCACTTTTTTGAATCTACAGATTAGTGTGGTGAAAGTTTGCAGCATAATATGAATTTTCTACTTAATTTATTTAGGCATTTTAAACATTCTCAGTAACATATTACCATTTTCCATTTACAGTTCTGATTTGTACTTTGTTCAGTTTACCCATAAATATTTCACATTTTTGATGCTACTTTGAGTTACATTTTTTATTTCCGGAGTTTATTGCTAAGATGTGGAAATACAGTTAATTTGTATCTTGTCACTTTGTTAGTTCATCTTTTAGTTTTACAAAACATTCTGCTAATATTTTGACTGAGGTTATCCTGAACCTATAGATCAATTTAAAGAGAAAGACAACTAAGAATATTGAATCTTCTAAATCAGGAAGATATGTTTCATTCTATCTGTTTCAGTCTTCTTAATCTTTCTCATTAATATTTTGTAGGTTTTTGTAATAGATATTCTATCACCTATGTATTTAATCATTTTGCACAATGAGTGGGCTTTATGAGAACAGGGATTTAATTCACCATTTTAAACAGTTTTACTGGGCATAGAACAATACCTGACTAATACTTGGTGAGTCAGTACATGTTCCATACATGTTGGATGAATGAATTAGTCTATAAAATGATGGTGATAATATATGCATCAAAATTGAAATACTAATAAAATATTTCATTCTTATTAAAATGCACTGTATATTAGTCCAGGACTATAAAGTTGTAAAGATTTTATGCACATGTTTTATTAGATTTATCCCTAAGCATTTTTTTAATTTCTGATGGTATTGTAAATAGAATGTTTTACTTCATTTTGTTTTTGGATTGCTCATTGTGAGTCTATAGGCAAGCAATAGATTTTTCTATACTATTCTTGGACCTAAAAGTCCTAAAATCTTTTCAATCTTACTAAAATCACTTCTTTATGCATCCCCTACTATATTCTATAAGTAATTATGTGTTCTGTGAATTCAAAGATGTATTTTTCTAACTTGGATTTTTTAAAAACATTATTGGGGCTGGTGCTGCGCCTCAATAGGCTAATCCTCCACCTAGCAGCGCCGGCACACCGGGTTCCGGTCCCGGTCGGGGTGCCAGATTCTTTCCCGGTTGCCCCTCTTCCACGCCAGCTCTCTGGTGTGGCCCGGGAAGGCAGTGGAGGATGGCCCAAGTGCTTGGGCCCTGCACCCCATGGGAGACCAGGAGAAGCACCTGGCTCCTGTCTTCGGATCAGTGCAGTGCACCAGCCGCAGCGCGCCAGCCGTGGCGGCCATTGGAGGGTGAACCAATGGCAAAGGAAGACCTTTCTCTCTGTCTCCCTCTCTCACTATCCACTCTGCCTGTCAAAAAAAAAAAAAAATTATTGGAAAGGCCATAATCTCAAGTACATGGTTGAATAGGAGTTGTGGGTGTGGACATTGGTGCCTTGTTCCTGATATTACAGGGAGAGTAGTCAGTTTTTTATCCATAATACGATGCTAGCTAGGAGTTATTTTAATAGGTACCCGTTATCAGGTTCAAGGATTTCCTTTATATTTCTATTTTACTGAATTTTACAAGGAATATACATAAGGTTTTGTATTGGCCAAAATTCTGTAGTAACTCATATACCTATATTTATTAAAAGTATTGGTTGATAGGGCCGGTGCCATGGCTTCCTAGGCTAATCCTCCGCCTGCAGCACTGGTACTCCAGTCCCGGTTGTTCCTCTTCCAGTCCAGCTCTCTGCTGTGGCCTGGGAGGAAGCTCCTGGCTCTGGATTGGCTCAGAGCGCCAGCCATAGCAGCCATTTGGGGGGTGAACCAATGCAAGGAAGACCTTTCTCTCTCTCACTGTCTTAACTCTGCCTGTCAAAAAAAAAAAAAAAAAAAAGTATTGGTTGATAGCTTTTATTTGCTGCAATGGCTTCATGTAGGTATATATTAGAGAAATACTGCCCTTGTTACTTATGTTGGAGACTGTCCCTCCACCCAATTTTCTGGTAAAGTTAGACAAAATTAGTCTTATTTTGTCATTAAATGTTCAATAGGCTTCACCAGTTAAGTCACATGGGCCTGTTTTCTTTGTGGAATGGTTTGCGTTACAAATTCAATTTCATTATTAAATAAGGCTAAATTTGGTTATTTTCATCTTTCAGAAAGTATTTTTATTTCATTACACTGTCAAATATTTCTAAGTAATGATCTGTTATAATATCTTCTGATTATTAATTTAATCCATGGTGCATCTCCAGTCATCTTTTTGATCCCTCATGTAGATAATCTGTGCTGACTCAGTTTTCTTTTTTCTATTTACTTTGGTGGAAAGTTTATTCAACATGTGAAATACATCTTGGTTTCTGTTATTTTTCATGTTTATTTCATCGGTGACCTATCTGATACTTATTTCTTCCTGTGCTCTGGGTTTCATTTGCTTTCTCTAGTTTCTTAAAGTGAAAGCTGAGGTTACTGATCCAACACTTTTCTTCTTTCCTAACAAACATCTAGTGCTGTTTTTTTCTTGTATCTTTAAGACTTTGTTTTATAACCAGATATGGTTTACATTTTTCCAATAGTACACAGATCATATTTTGTTTAACTAATATAGTTTGCTCTGAAATAATGTCTTAGCAATGTCTTGGGGGTTTCTTGAGTTCTGTTTTCTTCCCTTTCCTCTTATGTTGGTTGAAACTTTCATGTGTGTGGAACCCTGTTAAATCACTCACCTGCATCACCCCACCCACTGAGTTTAAGGTTAGTTCCACTTTAAACACACACATTCACAACGATTTTTATCCAATTAAATTTTGCAAGTCAAATTTCTTACATGTAGGGGATGGATATCTGGCAAGATTGGGTCAATCCTTTGCTGTTCTTCACCAAAGTAGCCTTTATTCTCTACTCCCAGTGTGTCTCTAGGTGGGCTGGCAGGAAGAAATGAAAAGTGACATGAACTATCATGTACCACCATGGTAAAAACCAAATCATCTACAGGATTTTTAAATATCAATGCTCAAGTTTTGCCTTATAACCCTTAAGTTAACAATGCCTTGAGTACTTATTAGCAGTATATTTTTGGTAAAATCCTTAGGTGATTCCAACATGCAGTGGTTAGCAGTCACTGAGATCAAATTTGATATTAACAAGTGTATAAAATCTTAATTTACTAGGCTTCTTACCCAGCCTTCAGTAAAAGACTTATACTTTTTCTCATTCTCTACAAAGCTTACATTTTCTTTGTAATGATTCCATTCAACACTTAGAAAATGCAGACATACCTCTGAACTTGCTTCAACTTAATACATTTTTGGTATTTAATAAATAATGTAACAACCCCAACACCAATAATAACCAAGACAAGCACAGCAACCATTATGGAGATACCTGCAATGGTAAAACACACGAGCTTTAGCCAGGGCATTGATTTTATCCTAGTGAATACGAACACTTGATGGAGCTACTACAGTCTTAATTCCCACCCCTTCACTTTTTGAATTAAAACAAAAGGCCAAAACATTATATAAGTTATCAGAGGTATCAGTGATTGACATTCAACCTAACATTCCATTATGTTTAAGGGAAGCACAATCAAAAAGGGGAAGTTTTAGTTGTCAGTTATTAACTAACTATGGAAAAGGCATCGTATTCTGGGTTCCCAGATTTAGCCTGAAAATTATACACTGCAGTGAAGTCAATTGCATCTTCAAACACACAATATAAAAATTAAAAAGACCATACACATATGTAGCAGACTAGAAAACAACAAAAATAAACTTTGTCACTGGTTACGCTTTTGTTATATATACACTACTACGTTCTAGGAGGCTCACTGGTAAGATTTAAGTTTTCTTCCCAGTCTGGAAGTAATTGTTCTTCCTCACATGTACACTGGGGTTCACCACCATTCACCTGGAAGAACAAACAATCATACAGTTGAATCAAATGACTGAAAAAACTTTGTTTTGCACCTCACCTTGCTTAGCGCTATTTCTACATGAAGTATGTGTGTGCATGCCCACACACACATTTTATAATTGATGAATTTCATACCAAAATTGCTGTTGCACAAAAATCAGCAAACAACATTCAAGAAGCAATCACCTTTAAAGAATGAATTGGTGACAACTGAGCACCAAAAAGGAAACCTGTTAAAGTGAAATGAACACTAGGAGAAATGGTGACTAGATCAGCCCTCACCCTGACTGTTGATGAGCAACTTAATATGTTATCCCTCTTAGTATTTTTTTTGTTTGTTCTACTTAATGCTTTTGGTTGAATACTGTAATCAATACACAATTATTCTTAAGTGCTGAAACTTAAATGAAAGTGATTGCTGTTAAATATAAGAGTGGGAATAAGAGAGGGAAGAGATGTGCAATTCGGGACATGCTCAAGCTGACTTACCTCAAACGGTAGAGTTAGAAACATACCAGGGGATTCCAATTCAATCCCATCGAGGTGGCATGTACCAATGCCATCTCACTAGTCCCAGTGATCAATTTCTGTTCACAATTGATCATAATGATAGGACTAAGAACC